GGATGGATGGATGGATGGATGGATGGATGGATGGATGGATGGATGGATGGATGGATGGATGGATGGATGGATGGATGGATGGATGGATGGATGGATGGATGGATGGATGGATGGATGGATGGATGGATGGATGGATGGATGGATGGATGGATGGATGGATGGATGGATGGATGGATGGATGGATGGATGGATGGATGGATGGATGGATGGATGGATTAAAAATGGGTGGGTGGGTGGATGGGTGGGTACACGAGTGGGTGAATAAATGGGTGAGTGGATGGGTGCATGAGGAAGGGAGAGAAAAGGCAAGTAGAAATGGGGGAAGAAAAGAGAAGAGAGAAAAGGAGTGGAAATCAGATAAGCTGCTAACGTTCTCAGTTAATCTTGGTTCATCTGCCCACCCCAGCCAATACAGTCTCCATGAGTCAGCAATATTCCCTCCCTCTGTCAGCACAATAATGTCAACTCTGAACTCAGTTCTTAGAGTTGCTATTTTCAGAACTCATTAGTGGTTTGACTTCACAAATCCTGTGGTTTTACACCTAGCTACAGAGGTCAATATTTACAGCTCGCTGACAAAGCCATACACTCATGGAATTTCTCCTAGACAATTCTCAAATCCCAGATAAATAGATGACTAACTTTGAGCACAGCCTGCAGGTCTGAACAATACAAATGATGGCAATGAGGGGACCAATTGCTCTTCAAAAGAAAACATTAAATAAAATCTCACTTGAAAACAATTTTACAACGTAGAGCTTCAAACATGCTCATATATGCTCACCTTAGAATCCCATCTAGAAGTACATCTTAAGAAAATCACCAGGAATACAAAGATTTATAATTTTAAAAAATTTACCTCGGAATTTGTCAGAGTAACATATATTAGAAATAACCCAAGTATTCAATAATAGGGGATTATTATATAAATTATGGCACATAAAATGGTGGCATACAGTACCGTTATTAAAAATCTTATTTACAAAGGAATCTGAAGTCATTATTAAGTGGGTATAAGATAATCTAGCACTTAAAAGAGAAACATCAGTAATACACCCAGTAATTATCTAAGAAAAATGACCATAATGAACAATGGGACATGCCAACAATAAGAATAATAACGGGTCATCTCTTAGTAGAATTATAATAATTTTTGCTTTTCCCTTTACACTTTTCTATATGTCTAAGCCTTCTATAAAGACAGATTCTTTTTATCCAGGTAGCACATCCCTGATGACCAGAACGCAGCGGAGCTCGGCTGACGGCAGGGCTCAGAGGGACGCTGGCTGTCCGGGTCCTCGGGGCCTGACCGCCGGGACTCAGGCTCCTCCTCTCTAAGTCATCGGCTGGCCTTCCCTTGAAAAGGGAGAATTTTGCTAAGTTCCATTAGCTCTGGTTTCCATGTCTGATATTTACATTTAGTATTTGAGTTGCTTTAGTGGTTACCCTTGGAACCCTAAGAATAATCTTAAATGTCTATTCCTTTTTCATCGGCTTTCAAAAGTAACTCCTGGTGTCTTCCTTTATAAGATGAGAGTAACATCCCTCCCACCTCTCTCGGTCCCCCTTCTTCACTTCTTTTCACTTGGACTTTGGAGACGGTCTTAACACTTGCCATTCTGCTTCAGTGACAGGTAGCCGCTTGTGTATTTACTGTCCCCAGCAATGGAAACAAACAAGCGTGGTTCATGCCGTGGTAACTGTAAACATCCTCACCGGCTCAGCCCGGACATGCTGGCACCTCCTTGCCGAGGCCCGTCCCCCTGCTGCCGGGGAGTAGCCCCGGGGAGGGCTGCTGGCACTGAGGCAACTCCCAGCTCTTCCCAGCTTCCCTTCCTGCCACTGGTGAGTGCGTCCATGTCCGCAGCACAGGGCTCCCAGGGGCTCGCTGTTTGCTGCTCTTCGTCGCCTGGTTTTCGTTTCCTGTGTGGCGTTTACCTGCTGCCGTCTCAGGTGTTCCAGGCTGGAGTCGCAGTGCCTCCTCCCCTGGGCTCTTCTTCCCGCACCTCTTCCCAGGCCTTGTCACTCAGGATCCTCTGCGGGCACAGGAAGCTTGGGGTGTCCTGGGAGACCCAGCGGGAGAGGCAGGGCCCCTCTCCGGGAGCTCCTCTCTGGGATCTCTGCCGGGGCTGGGCCCTGCACACAGGACTCTCCTCATTCCAGAGGGTCCTCCTTCCCGAGGACATCACGGGCTCTGTGCCACTGCCCTGCCTCTGCCTCCAGGCCTTTCTCAGTGACGCAGGGAGGTTCGTGGCCGGCACCGCAGTCCTGCCAGCGCACACAGCTCCTCTGCCCGCCAGTCACACACCACGGAGCTGGCCGGTTGGCTCCCGGAGCAGCCCGCAGCCAGCCCTGGCGGCCCGCGCCCCTGCCTCTACCACATGCACATCTAGAATGGGCACAGTGGTGGCAGCAGCAGGTGACGCTGTGGTGAGGACAGCTGAGCGCTATCTCTGGCCACCTTCCAAGTCCCTCCTCGAGGGCCCGGGGCGCATCCCGGGTCACGCAGCTTCCACACCCCAAACGTGTCTTTGCAGTAAGAGCAAGGGTGCCAGGCTCTCTGTGCCTGTGACCTCGGCTACCAAGTGCGAATGGGGCCTAAGGAAACATAGTGGTTGGCTCATAGCGTCATCCCCAGAGAGGGACCTGTCGTGGCCCTGGGGGACAGGCATGAGGGACGGCGCCTGGGGCATTGCTCTGGATGTGCTCAACCAGAATCACAGACCCAGAGCCTGGCTCTAGAGCCCGGAGGCCCCTCCACAGAGGCAGCGGACCCCGAGGTGGCAGGCGGGAGGCGCAGGGCTCCCCTGGGGGACCCTGTGACCAGAAGCCCTCAGAGGAGACCCCATCAGGATTCCAAACGTGAATCTGTCCCCACAGAGCACAGGCCAGACACAGAACAACCCGGTCCTCCCCCCAGGTGCGTTCCCAGCAGGGCCTGGCCCAGCCTTTCCAGGGGAGAAGGGGGGGTATTACTCCCCAGGGCAAGCCCCTGCCCCAGAGGGCATCCCCCCCCCAGTGGTAGGGGGGCAGCGGGCATCCGGCTGGGTGTTCTGGAAGCTTCTGCAAAGAGCCAGCCTGGTGTGAGTTAAAGGGATCGCAGGGCATTAGGAGCAGAAAGAAGCCACAAGTTTATACCCGTCAGAAAGCAGTGATGCCGAGGCTGGTGTGGGGGACCCCCAGCGGCCTCCTCCCTGCAGGTCAGAGCTGGAGCCGCAGCAGGCGGCCGGCAGCCCCCGGGGGCAGTTGCAGTGAGCGCCTGCCCTGCTCTGCCCTGCCTCCGCCCCAGGGTTTGGCTCCTGAGTTCATGTGTTTCTTGCAGGACCAAGCCATCAGAGCCCCACAGGGAACCACGTTCCTGTGCACCAGGGCCCAGCCCCCACGCCAGGTCCAATGCGCTGCCAGCTGGGCAACCCCACTGAGGGTGCTGGAGGTGCAAGGTGTAGCACCCAGAACCCAGGACCCCAGACCCCTGGCACCACAAGGGACAGGGCATGGGTCTGATCGGAGACACACAAAGCCCTCACAGAGGCCCAGTGTCCAGGAGACTGCGTGTGCCCCCCACTTTCTCTCTGTGGGTGTAGGCAGGCATGGGGGAGGAAGGAAGCCACTGAGGCAGGTGTGTTTAACTCCATATGAAATCCCAGGTCAGGTCGCATAAAGATTTATTTGGGGTGCAGGGAGATAATGCCTTCTGCGGGAAGTGGGTCCTACGGCTGTGGTGGAGACCAGAGCCTCCCGGTGCTGGAGAAGGGGAGGCCCAGCCCAGCTCCTGCAGGACAGGGCAGCCCGCGCTGTCCCCAGGGCCAGAGATCCCTGGTCCCTGGAGGGCCCCGGACTGGGCTGGGTTTCACACGGAACCCCTTCAAGATGATCTCATGCTCTGAAGAGGTCAGCCACCTGGACCTGCTAAGGGAGAAGCCAGCGCTGAGCCCACCCCAGGCCCCCTGTGCCCCACACGTGGCCTGAATCGAAGCCCTGACAGGACCAGAGCGCAGCCTGGGAGCATTTCACTCCGTCGGGGGCACGAGGATCTGGTGTCAATCAACAACTCAGAGGACAGGTCCTCGCCCGCTCTGGGCACCACCCTGTCCCAGCGAAAGCACAGCAGGCCCGAGGGTCCTGCCCGGGATCCGTCTCCCAGCTTGCTGGGCCCTGTCCAGCTGCCGACAGCTGCGCTGCCCGTGGAGGACTGGCCATCATGCCCAAGACTTTCTTAGGCAAAGACACCAACCATGTCCACGTGAAGAAGCCTTTTCTCCTGAGACAAGTGCTCCCGCTTTGGGACATTGACTGTCGTGTCATTTCCTGGCCGAACGTTCAGACACTGACTCCTGAACAGAGTGTCCTGAGGAGCTGCTCTGCACTTTTTCTTTTTTTTCTTTTTTCGAGCAAGAATTGGCACTTTTAGAAAACCCTCAGCGTCCGAGAAATTAGAGTTAAATGTTAACTCAGTTCCAGCATCCACTTTATCTCGGGTTCCTTCCCCAACTTTACGACTGAAGTTGCCCAATTTCCTTGGCTTTATTTTAACTTCCTGTGTGTGCTGCCAAGGCACCTGCAGCCACCTGAAAGCAGGGGAGAGATGAAAAGTAAACTAGCGAGGAGGCCTGGCGTCCGTGCCCATCACAGCCCGAGGGGCACCGAGAGCGGGGGAGGGACTGTGGGCACCGCGTCCAGGTGTCCCTGCCACCAGGGAAGCTTGGGTCTCTGGATCTGGAGCAGAAAGGGTCCTGGTACGGAGCACCGGGGTTCTGCTCTCTATTGCACCCCTAAACTTAGTGTCTTAGACCTACCAGCCGCTTTCCGATTCCTCACGGTGCCGGGCAGGGCTCAGCTGGGGGGCTCTGGCACGGGCCTTCGCGGCCCTCTCCAGGCAGTAGACAAGCAGAGGCTGGCGGCCTTCATGCGCTCAGGCCTCTCCCCGCGCTCACGCCAACGCCTCGTCTGCGCTCCCTCCCACCAGGGCAGCACGAAGGAGGGACTTCCTGTGCGGTGGCTCCGGGCTCCAGCAAGCAAGGGCCCAAGGGGGCCAGGGTTCGGGGCCAGGGGAGGAGGTGGACGAGGCCCCCCTCGATGGGAGGGGTACTGCCAAACAGATGGGCACATCTTAAAGCCACCACCGCCTCTCTGTGGCCTGCACAGGTCTGCTGGCCCAGCGCAACTGGAAGGCAGGCAGGCACGCCACAGGCGGGTTTGGTCTCCCGCTCCCCGGAGCATCACTGCCCGACAGAGTGTGCCCCCTCGGAGAGGCAGAGCTGCGCAGTGAGAGGCCCGCCCGAGCCGACCTCTCCCAGCCCCGCCAGCCCCTCCCCCTCAGGCCAAGCGCGTGCCAGCTGCTGGCTGCAACCTCTGGGCAGAGAGAAACCGAGGGCGTGGGCACTGTGCCCTCCTCCGCCAGGAGCCCGTCCAGCTTCGGCTTTCCTGGAACAGTGGGAAACTAGAGTGTAATTAACCTCTGGCCTAAGTTCCAACTCTAAACCCATGCCTTCTGCGGAATCGGCTGGAAAGAATACCTTCAGAAGTCACACTGTCTGTGAGGACGTCACACTGCGTGGTGGCTGAAGGAGAATGAATGGGTTTGCGTGGGCCTCAGAGAGGGCGCTACAGAGATGCCCACACTTCCTTGAGAGCCTGGGCGCGGGCTGCCAGGGGCCATGCCCTCTTTGGGGGTGCCAGGGCCTCTGCTCCAGCCTCCATCTGCCCCGGACATCCCTGGGCCTCTCCCTGGCCCCAAGGCCATGGCGGAGACAGCGGAGGCCAGGCCGCGGCAGGCAGCCCTCCCTCCCACAGAGCCAGCCTGCTGCGCACACAGCGCCCAGTGTCCAGAGCGTGAGGCCCAGGGCAAGACAGAAGCTTTTCCAGCTCCTCAGAATGCCCCTCCCGGGCATTTCCGTCTCCAAGTGCCCCCTCTGAGGGATAACGCTTGCTGATAGGTCTGCGAACCAACGCTAAGACCTTGGGGGAGGGGGGCGGGGGTGGAGAACACAGGAGACTCGGCATAAGCAGGAGCCACCAGCGCTGGCTGCCCTGGTCCAGGGCCTGCGGGCGGGCGG